CCTCAGTTCCCACAGCAGATATTGGTGATTACCCACTGATCAAGTGGGCACAGCCACCCAGGACGACCATTTGGTCCTCTGTGTCCTCCAGTAAATATCTTGGCAATCCTGTTCTGAGATCTGCTACCCCTTGCAGCCTTCCCTCTGCTCTCTTTCAGTCACAGAGGCTAATAGGGAAGATTGTACTGTTGGTAATTTATCCCCATCTGCTTGTATTTTGTGCTGTGTGAGCCACTTGGTTATCTGTTCACTTATATTTTGCACATGCTATTTATGGTTACCTATTATATAGTTGTCCTCTTTTGATGTGAGGATCTGGTTAAAAACAAAACAATGTCACTGCTGCCTTCCTTGAATAAACAATAAACTCTTATTATGAACATACAGTTTCCAAAAATATATTCTGTTCCCTTTAGTAGATCTTTATTCAAAGAAAAGTTTCATTAATTTTCTTGAATGTAATTCTTTTTAAATTTACTTATTGTTATTGTGAAGCTGATGTACAGAGGGATTATGGTTACATAAGTCAGATACAGAGTCCATTTCTTTTTGAACAATGTCGCCCCTTTCTCACTCCATTTTTCCCTCCTGTCCTCAAGTTGATAGTTTATTTTCAACAAGTATTTAGTATTACCTATAAAGACAATAAAAGCCATCACTGAACCCATGCATCCCACTCAAAGTCTGTGGAAGCTGGACCATTTATATCTTAGTTTCCTAGTGGCCCTGTAATACCCTACCACAAACATGAAAATGCACATTTGTTACCTTAAAGCTCTGGATGTCAGAAGTCAAACATGGGCTACGGTCAAGGCAGAAGCAGGGCACGTCTGTAGGCTCAACAGGAAGCCACTGTCTTGCTTCTTCAGCTTCTAGTGACTACCTGTATTTCTTTTCTTTTTTCTTGGGGGGGGGTCCAGTCCTGGTGCCTGAACTCTGGGCCTGGGCGCTGTCCCTCAGCTCTTCAGCTCAAGGCTAGCGCTCTACCACTTGAGCCACAGCACCACTTTCGGCTTTTTTTCTTTTTGCTTATGTGGTGCTGAGGAATCGAACCCAGGGCCTCATGCATGCAAGGCAAGCGCTGTACCATTGAGCTACCTTCCCTGCCCCAAACTACCTGTATTTCTTAAAAGGTATTTCCTTCTTCCATCTTCAAATCCATCAACAGAGCATCTCCAAATTTCTCTTTGTAATTTCCTTCTCCCACTTAAGTAATTTGAACCCAGGAGATAATTTATCCCATGAGCTTGAGCCCATCTAGGAAATTTGTGATAGCCTTCCATCTGAAGATCATCACTGAAGAGCATCACTGAATCATATCTGCAAAGTGTCTTTTCCTGTATGGACTTTGGGAGATTAGGTTATGATCTTCTTTGCATAGGCAAAGATGTATACACTGCAAACCTCTGCTCTCTTCAGTTGTTAGTTGAAGGCTGACCCCAGGTTGGATCATTTACCTGGTGCCAGTAAGCTAAACAGACGCTGCTGGTGATCCATAGCAAGAAAGTAAACCAATCATTAACTTTGATCTCTTACAGTTTAATTTTTCCATCACCTACTGTACTGAAAATGAGGGTGAGTTAGGCCTCCTTGGTTAGATAAAAATGGTGAACATAACACATGGCAAACAACATGTGACCCATCCTGAAGATGCTTCTTCCCATAATGTCCTGGGTTTTAAAAAAAAAATTATTGTAAAAATACTGTACAGAGGGGTTACAGTTACATGAGTAAGGTAATGAGCACATTTCCTATCAAGTATTGTTTATTTTATTTTATTTTTATTTTCATTTATTTATTTTTTCATGATTTTTTTTAAATTTTATTTGTGAACATACTGTACAGAGGGGTTACAATTATATGGGCAGGATAATGCGTACATTTCTTACCAAGCATTGCAGCCTCCTCCTTTGTTTACCCTTCACCTCCCTTCCCAGCCTCTCCCCCCTCCCCTCCCCAGTCCCAATCCTTCCCCCCTCTCCCCCCCCAGCACCGACGTTGTAAAGCTCGTTTTGGACATGACAACTTGTACTTCTCATTGTTGCAACAGGTCCACCTGTATCCTTAAACGACTTGTTTTTCCCGATCTCCTCCACAAGTTATAGTGACATCAAATATAGTGAAAGCAGGGGTTATACTGTGGGGGAGGGACATACAAAGCAATAAAGAAATAATCTTATAAATGCGTTAGAAACACATACATGAAAGAAAAAAAACATTAAAATACATATCTAAGGGTTCATTTTCCAAACATCACATTATCTGACCTTTTCCGCTTGACTCATACATATACTAGATATTGCAAATAAGGGAAACCATGGGGCCTATGTTTCTTTGGGCCTGGCTTACTTCGCTTAATATAATTTTTTCCAAGTCTTTCCATTTCCTAACAAATGGGGCAATGTCATTCTTTCTGATGGAGGCATAGAATTCCATTGTGTTCTATCAAGTATTGTTACCTCCTCTGTTCCCTCCCCCCGCCCCCCAACCTCCCTCCCTCCCTCCCGCCAAGTTGTAAAGTTTGTTTTCAACATAGTGTCTTATACATCTAACAAAACGCTGAAATAAAGATACAGGTTGTTCTGAGTTTTTGCTCAAACACTTTTTCCCATAATACTTAAAGTTCCCATTCAATCAAGGAAAGGAGCCAGAGCCATCAACACACATCTCAAGGGAGGAGTTATGAGAGGAGTCCCTGTACTAAGACTCGTCCTCTCTATAGAGAGTCTTACATTCTGCTTTTGCTTTCAAATAAACTTTCTGTCTGCTGTAAACACTTTTCTTCCCTTTACTTCTTTAATTAGTGAGGATATTAACCTGTACCCCAGATGTCAGAAATGCCTCAAACTATTTTCACTCGAGCCTTCAAATTCTAGAGGACCTCAATCTAAGAGTGCTTCAGATGGTTTTTGTGATATTTGTTAAATTCTTCAAGATTGGATGGAAGGGAAAGAAATTGTTACATTTCTTGTGTTTATTTTTTGAAGATATTTAAGGAAGCTGTGCATGAAGGAAGCTGGCATGGTGAGTGCCTTTGAAGGGTATGTCTTGACCTTCAACTCTTTCTATCCTTCTATTCTGGTCTGTCATAAAGTGAGCATTAACCATTTTTTCTTTTTTTCTTTTTTTTGGGGGGGGAGGGGTCCAGTCATGGGGCCTGAACTCTGGGCCTGGGCACTGTCCCTCAGCTCTTCAGCTCAAGGCTAGGCGCTCTACCACTTGAGCCACAGCACCACTTCCGCTTTTTTCATTTTGCTTATGTGGTGCTGAGGAATCGAACCCAGGGCCTCATGCATGCAAGGCAAGCACTCTACCACTGAGCCACCTTCCCAGCCCCCATTTTTTTCTGATCAAACATTACATCTTTACAATGGAATAAGGGTCAAGACAGAAGCTTAACTTTTTTAAAGCATTAAGCAAGCTGAACATGGTTGCACAAGCTTATAATCCTAGCCTTCAGAAGGCTGAGGAAGAAGGATTGTGAATTCCAGGTCATCCTGGGATATATAGGAGGCCACCATCTCAAAACAAACAAACAACAACAATAATAACAATAACAAAAACTAAACCACACACAAAAAACCCTAAACCAACATAATGAAAGATTGACTTGTTATTAAGCTAACAAACTTCTGAGTCTGGCTTCTTCTTTCAGTTCTTATTTACCAAGAAAAAGAGAAGACTCATATCCTGAGTCAAGGTTTTGTAGAGTGGTCAGTACAAGGGACAGCCAGCCAGCTCAATAAAACATCACAATGTATACCTTGAAGAAATTCATTAGAGGTTTCTTATGGCCTTTCCAAATTGTCTCTAATTAGCATGGACTCTTATATGAAAACAACCTGTAGAATAGTAACCTGCAAAAGTGAGTTTTTTTTAAAAAGCTGATGTAATTTTTCTCTGATTTGGAATGGTATTCTGGGCAATCTGATTTAGGATTTATGGTTTTTGAATTTGTGGTCCATTTTAAAGGGACCATGAGCTTTGTTACAGTGCTACGGGAAATGTTTCCCCCATTCTAAGTACAGAAAATGGGAAGAATTGTGTGAATGCTACAGAAACACTTCCCAGGATGTTTGCTTGGTCAGTAAGAGAAGTTCTAAGTGGCTATGGTGACTCCAGGCTACTGTAGGTTCAGTGGAAATGCATGAAATGTCTAACTGCTGACAGTAAAGGCTGTTATAATTTATAATACTAATTGATAGCATTCTTTAAAGTCAGGAACACTGATTCATTCATCTTCACCTCTTCAACCATAACATACTGTCTCTTTGAATAAATGCATTATGTACTAAAAATCATTGAAGTTTGGCTTGGAATAATGTCAGAGCCACTGAAGGAAAGATTTGCAGAATCAACTAATATCAATGATAGCCCATGCTAAGTACAAAAATCAGGATCCCCCATTTGGAATCTCAAATAGTGACAACTTCAATTAGTTCTTATGATTCCAATATTTGGCTAGCTAAACACTGAAAGTGGTCTTGGAGAAAACAGTCCCACAGCAACTCTGAGCTCTCAAATTTTGAACATTTCCAATTCTTTCATTTCTTCCTTTATTGTTTCTATTCTGCTTCATCTGATAGCAACCACCTGTTGAAAGTGGAAGTTTCCCATAATTTATATTCAACATATTGATATTTAGAAAGAGTATGTAACTAAAGTAGGAATGATCTTTTCCATTGATAGGTAGCTGCAGGTTAAAGATGGTAGCCCTTTCCTCTTCCTGTCACTCATTTTCTCCATAACCTCAGATAAATGTTCATTGTTTTTATGATAATGAACAATCTCATGTTACATGTTCCGGGGAAATGCCTAAAATCTTTTACTCAAAAGTTTCATAATGACAAGCTGTAAAAAGAGGTATGTATACATACCATGGGTACTTTTACCATGATTTCCCTCACCTTGGTTTGATTAAAATCTCAACCTGAAGACTGTAACAACTCGGCTATCTTCAAAGTCTAGTTGTTTGTTTCACTTTGAGAAAAACCTCAAAGTGGGGCATGAACCGTGGCAGAGCGGAAGGAGAAGTTAAGGACTGAGCTGCTCTGCCGAATGGGGTTTGAGGCAAAACCCACAGAAGACTTAATGCCTGTTCATTTCGTTGCACAAAGTCATTCTGGCTTTTTCTCCTGTCCCCTTCCTGCAGCTCGCCTCTTTTTATTTATCTCTTACGTTCCATTCTGGTAGAGACCCTGATCCAACTCTGAAGAACTGAAGGGCAGAAGGGATGCTTTTTCTATCTCTGACATATTCAAGGAAAGAAGACTTTGCCTGCCATGTTTGGAACTGGGAAATCATTTGGGGTTCTCTTCCTAATCCTACATCTGAGCATCTGTAGCATCGATGGTAAGGCAATTGTGTAGAATTCTTTCTAGTTTAATGTCCTAGGGGTCATGGAGGCACTGCTTGCCCTTTGCTTAGACTTAGTAGGGTACAACATTTTTTGCTAAGTAGGTAATGACAGATGAATCAAGCAGTTAGACGTTATAGGAATAAACCAAATTAAGAAATGGTAGTCACCTGCTTGAATAGTTAAGTATAGATACTAACCATTGGTTGGCCAATGTCCCTAAAATTTTGGTTGTAGTTAGAAAAGAGCATTGAGCAGACATAAATAGAACAAGTAAAAATTTATCCGTACTACTAGGCAAAAGCCTTCTGACTTCCACAATGAAGGTGAATAAATAGCATGTTCTTTCTAAAATGACTCCAGCAGAATGTTGAAGTGCTCATTTAGGCAGGACAGGTGGTGATGAATTTGGATTGTATCTGTCTCCATGGTTATGTTGTCTCTAAATCTTTATGCTTGTTTCCGTGGGGTTTGCGCCTTGAGAATACTAAATGAGAAATTTAGGAGCAGAGCAACTCACATTGTTTCTAATGAGCTGAAAAGCGAACATGGGAATGTTTGTGTTGTGCATAAATGACATTCGGCCATCCTTTTTGAGACTATATGTAGGCAAAAAAAAATGGCAGTTCCTTTCTCTGAGGACTCTTGTTCCCTTACCTTGACACAGGAGGTGTATATTATAAAGGGAGAAGAAGGCCTAGGAGTGATCAGTAGAAGATTTTCATAGTTAACTGAAGATAAGAGTTTCACAGTCTCTCCTGCTTGGGCTGGCTTTGAAACGCAATCCTAAGATTTCAGCTTCTTTAGTAGTTAAGATTCCAGGAGTGGGCCTGGCTCCCAGCTCAAATATGTTCTTTTATTGCCTTCCATAAGCACATATATATCAGTTCTTGTGCTAATGTTTTGAATTATAAAATGCAATCACTGCAGTCCTGTGAAATGTCATCTTTAAGTCTAGAACTTGTAGATTGGAATTTGACTCTATGATATCAAGATGTCACCCAACCAGATCCAAAGTAAAAATTTCTCCAGTCATCCAAGTATTTTGTTGTTGTTGTTGTTGTTGTTCTGTGGTTTGAACTCAGGGCCTAGGTGTTGTTTGTTGTCTGAGCTTCTGTTGCTCAAGTCTAGTGCTCTACTACTTGAGCCACAGCTCCACTCTAGCTTTTTGGGGGTTAATTCGAGAGAAGAGTCTCATAGGCTTTTGTACCTAGGCTGGCTTTGAACCACAATTCTCAGATCTCAGTCTCTTGAGTAACTAGGTTTACAGATGTATGCCACTGGCACCCAGCCAAGTATTTTTCTTAAGTGTTTCATATTAAGTTGACTGGGTATTTAAATGGGTGACTTGAGGATGTTTTTAAACTTTTGATCAGATGCTCACAGTCAGTTACATAGCTACAATTAGAGTTAGAAATTATTCAACAGAATGTATCCCAGTTTGAAGGCTCTATTATATACTGTTCTGTATGAAATAAGGGAAGTGTTTTTTAATGTTATCCTGTAATTGGTACATAGCATTACTTACACTTTTTCTCCCAGTGTGCTGTAGCCTAGTGTTCCCAAAAATACACCTGCTTGTTAGAATTGGTTTGCCACTCACTGTGTGAGATATTGGTTCCATTTCTCTGTGTTCTTTCTTCTTAATTGTGATATTCAGTATGGTTGATGGATTTACCTGTAAATGCAATATTCCTCATCTCACCCAGATGATATTGGTCTACCACAAACTGGCCATTGACTTGGGTTGAAACAGGCATTCCAGGGTCGATGATGTTTTAAATCTATTATTCCTTGCAATTTAAGTTTAGTAGTACTGTGTCTTTATCAGGCTCATGTCATGACTTCATTTATTTTTCCTATGGATATGTGAGAAAGAGCTGTGTTATCAATTAAATGCAAAATACTTACGTGGTATTTTCTCAAACATGTCTGCTATTTATGAAAACCTTTAGAAGCAGATTCTTCAGTTTCAGGATTTCCTGGATTAAGTCATGAGCAGATTAATCCTCATGCTGATTACAGCTTTGAATTGACTCCTTGAACTTATCATTGTCCTTTGCCCCATCATAAGAATTTCTGCTGGGAGAGAGTAAGGGAAGGGTGACATTGTCCCCCCAAAAATGTACTCTTTACCTGACTTATGTAACTATAGTCCCTCTCATCACCTTGGTAATAACAAAAAAAATTATTTATTTTTTAAAATATTTCGTTGTAACGTTGTTTACAGAGGGGTTACACTTACGTAAGTAAGGTAATGAGTACATTTCTTGTCAAACATTGTTACACATGCCTACATTTTTCTCCCTCTATCCCCCCCCCCCAAATTATTTAAGAAGTGTCCTCTATTGTGACCCTGAAGTCAAAAGTTATTGTCTTTTCTACCTGGAATTTTCCTATTTAGTTTCCATTATCTGTGAGTTTTGCCTTTACTTTAGAGTTCATAATGGTAGAAAAAGGTAAAACCAATGGTTTGCTTAATTTCTTGTCTATCACAGTACGTTCTGATAGAAAGTAAAATATTGCCACTGTAACAAAATTACAGATGTTTTATACATTTAGTAACAATTTTAGTTGTCCAGGAAATTATTTACATATCTGTGTTCATCTCTATCAATGTCAGCTCAAAAATAAACTATCTGAACTTACTATTGTCATTAATTTTTTTCAATAAGTGTAACCATTTGTAGGAATTTTTCAGTGGAGGGATGGTGACTCTGTTGGGAATTTCCTTGCAATAATAGCTATAATCAAGTTATAGAATCTTCAAAAAAAAAGGAATAATAACTTTCACAAAATATTCCAAATCACAATCCTGTAACTTTACTTGCTCAGGAGGAAGGTTTTAGACTAGGTTGCTGTCTGTTACTGGCATTCCTTTCTGATGAACCAGTTTGGATGACTGTGGAATATCAGTTAGTAAGTATTTGAATTTCAATCACTGAGTGGACATAAATCAGGTCTTGCCACATTGAAGAGCTGAATGTCTCATTTTTTTGTCAGTGGTTAGAAGTTAACCACTACAGGATATTTTAAGATGCTTAACCGCGGTGCAACCTCTCAAAAGACACAGCTGTGTCTATCCTGTTGCCCTTAATGGACAAGCACAAGTAGCATTGTGAAAAGGCTCTCTTCATGAGCCTCAGGAAGCATGATGTCTCTCCCCTTCATACTTTTCTAAGGCTGTCTCCTCTTTTTGCAGAGGTATCATGCAATAGGAAGTGGTAGACCAGAGAGAAAGCAAATGTGTGAATGTAAACATAGCTGTAATGGTATGGGGCATGTCACACAGAAAAGTATGGGGATTCTACTGAGAGTATGTTTGGTGTTAATTATGTCTGTGGGAAGAGGCCCAAGTTTGTCTAGAATGGGTCTGGGAATAAGAAGAGACTCATCTTTTCCTCAAAGGCTTTTCTTAATTGACACAGATAGTAGGGCTATCTCTTACTTTGGGATTTGAAAGCTTTAAGAGATTTTGTTGTATTTAACAATCTAATTGTGAGATGATATGAACAATTTTCTGACTCTCCTTTGCACTAAAAATTATCACATTTCTGAATTGTGGTGAGCACTTTTGGTTTGTGAGCAATAAGAAGGTACATTGCTTTTACTGTGTATTTGTAATTGTCACCATACACAACAAGTTCAGAACAATGTCAGTGCTAAATTATTGTTCCCCAAATATTTTTGGTCTAAGTTTTAATAGTTATGTCCTCATTATGTTACTGTTTAGTTCTATTAATATGTATGTAATTTTCAAATGAGCATATTTACAGTTTTTATCCTTTATTAAAAACTATATTCCATGCACAAATTAAAAACTTCCCAGCTATGTATTTGTGCTGGACACCTATGAAATCAATTCCATGTCCTTTCAAAGAATAAATTCATAATGTTTAGAATCACTTGAGTTTAGTTAAGGTATGGTCCACCCTAGTGTCTTTCGGGCTACCTATTCCTGACCTGTGGCTGTCCATTTAGATAAAAAATAATGCCACCATGCTTATGGGTATAAAGCAGCACCATGGGTGTGTTTTCACTTTGTCACTATACATAGCTCTGTTTCATTTTACTTGCATTTAAAGTTTAAAACAGTGAAACAGAGTACAAATTATTAGGCGCTGGTGATTCATGACTGCAATCCTAGGTACTTGGGACACAGATCTGAGGACTGCAGTTTGAAGCCAGCTGGGACAGGAATGTCCTTGTAATTCTTATCTTCAAAGCCCTCTGAATCCTGCATTTGAGCTGTGGCTCAAGTGGTAGAGCCCTATCCTTAAGCAAAAACAGCTCAAAGACAGTATGCCCAATCCTCGAGTTCAAGCCTCAGGACAAGCACAAAATAAAAACAAAGAATATTTAGGAGCCATAAGATAGCCATAATTTTTACTATATAGCAGTGATGTAGTTAGGACTAACAGCCAGCTGTATGGTAACTGTGCACCTCTCCCAAGCCTATAGTCACTGAATACTAGAACTGGAAGGCATGTTGAATGGTGCTACTGGCATCAAGCAACAGTTTTTTGGTAAAATGGAATGGTAATACATTTCAGTAAAACAGGCATTGCAGACTACAAATGGTTTGAAGTCACATATTGAGAAGTGCCATCATAGTTATCTTTGTGTTGGAGTGAGCAAATTAAGAACTTCCTGTTTTGTAATTCAGTCCTTTATTTTTTGAAGAATTGGAGTCTGTTGGGATTGGGTGGCTACATCAAGTTTGTTTAATATGTTAGCATTCAAAACAGCCACATTAAAATGAATATGAGTATATTTATAATGGGTGTATGAATGCTCCATTTATTTTAAAACTGTCTTGTATGCCACTTTCAGAAAACCATGATCCAGTTGTGGATCCATTCCTTGAATTGGCCATGATATTTCTGGACCTGAAATTTTGTCTCTCCATTTCCTCAGTTCCATAATACCTTGTCAATGCTCTGATTCTCAAAAGATGGTTCACTAAGTGGTGTGTAGGTCAGGTTTCATAAGTGGTTTCTCCCTACTTACAGCATTATTCTCCAAGTCATTATGCACCTTGATTTCCCATTAGAAAGCAAATTCTACAAAGGCAGGCATCATGTCTTAATTTTGTATTTCCTAACAGCTATCATATAAGTTCTCTGTGAACCCTTTTTTCAAGCTCAGGTAAATTTGAAGAGAAAAAGAGTGGTAGATTGTAAGTTTATTCCAGTTTATTATTATTAGGTAATTTTGTTTTACAATGAAATAGTCAGATCCTTGAAGATGAAAGGTCTTTGTCTATAATCATCTTGTTTTCCACATATCTAGCTCAGGTTATATGCTCATAAACTATATAGTTTCACTTGGCTTTTCTGTCTCTGGCCTCTTGGCTTGTTTGTCATAAATCTTAACCACATCTACATGTTGTATTATTGACACTTCCTATTAGCAAACTATCTTACCCTTTCTCTTCAAAAGTTTTGGAAAACATCATCCTCTAACTTACCTTTTAATTTGCTTTCAATTTTACACTGAGTTTTTGAAGCCAACTAAATTTAGGAAGTCCTAACATGAACTAGTTTGAAGTCTTGACACCGTTATAGATAAGTAAATCATTGGGCATGGTAGATTCCTCCAAACTCAAAGTTCAGTTATTCCAAGCAGAAGTTGGTGAGCTATTAACAGAAATTATAGTGAAAGGTTTAGTAAATATAAGGAAGTAAATAAAAAGAAGATTCATGCAGGCAAGGGTGTAGAAATAAAGTGGAACATTGTTCTCAGTAGGGAACATATAAAACCCAAAGACAAATAAACCAGGCACTGGTGGCTTACACTTGTAATCTTTGCTACTCAGGAGGCTGAGATCTGAGGATCATGGTTCAAAGCTAACCAAGGCAGAAAAGTCCATGATGGTGACTCACCAGTTAACCACTCAAAAAAAGTCAGAAGTGGAGCTGTAGCTCAAGTGATTGAGTACTAGGTTTGAACAAAATAGCTCAAGGATAGTGCCCTGATGGGTCTGGGAATGTGGCTTAGTGGTAGAGTGCTTGCTTACCATGCATGAAGCCGTGGGTTCGAGTCCTCAGTACCACATATACAAGAAAAGCCGAAGTGCTGTAGCGCAAGTGGTAGAGTGCTAGACTTGAGCATAAAAGCTCAGGGACAGTGCCCAGGCTCCGAGTTCAGGCCCTAGGACTGGCATAACCATCTACTTAGAGAAGGTGTGTGTGTGTGTGTGTGTGTGTGTGTGTGTGTGTGTGTGTGTGTGTGTGTGTGTGTGTGTGTCCCGTGTGTAGGCAGGCTGTCTTTCACTGAGCCACATCTGGCTCCAACAGGTTTCTCTTTTCATTGTTCTTGGCTCTTAAGTTTAGTTGAGATGTTCCAGTTACAAGGCAGCTTTCCTGATAAGTTTAATATTTTCATGACATTATAACTTGTTCAATAAGAAAATTAAAGTTTTTTTCTGTGCTATTTTTTGTATACCTGGCAATTACTAACTGTTTAGATTGTAAGATTTAGTTTCAGGAAAAATTTCCCATCTCCAAAGTAAAGAGAGGCAGACTTTCAGTTTTGTCTGACCAATATACAGAAATTCCAAAAGAGATGGAGCAGTTGTCCTTGACTAACTAGCTCAAGTTGTGTGTCTCCAACACAGAATACTCACAGACAAGACTGCAATGCAGTATTAACAATACTGAAAAACAGAAAAGACAATTCCTGAAGCCAAGTGTTTCAGGGAAATGATTGTGTACAAAAATTTCTCTCTTTGGAAGTGGCGCTGTGGCTCAAGTGGTAGAGCGCTTGCCTAGAGCTGAAGAGCTGAGGGACAGCGCCCAGGCCCAGAGTCCAAGCACCATGACTGACAAAAAAAATTTTTTTTCTCTCTTTTACTTAATGTAATATCAGAGCTGGTAATAGAAAATCTGAAATACCACAGATTAATGAATTATAGAGAATTATAGACTTCACTATGACTTTAAAAATCCTGATCTTAATTCTAATAATTAGCACATTTCCGTAGGCAAATTTTTACTACCTCAGTTTCCTCATCTGTAAATCAGAGCTAGAATCTGTCTGTCCATCTGTCTGTCTATCTGTTTATCTATATAATAAGTATATGTCTAGTTTTTGTTGGAAGGATTAAATTTGTTTGATTTTTTAATGAAATATTATATGTATGTTAGGTATCAGACACTGAACTAGTGAAGGTTTTGATTTTTGTGGGGGTGAGCTAGTGAGGGTTAATTGCTAGTAAATGATTCTTGAGGAATTTTTGTCAGGAGCTGTTGCATTAGTATATAGTATTTGCAAAAGGGCAGATTTGATTTTTATTTTGTCTCATTTTTCAGGAGAAGAGTCATGTGAAATTCAACTTTATGTTAAGAGACATTTAATACATGTCACAGCAGGACATCAGTTTAGAATGGAATGCCCTGTGAAGTACTGTGTTAGCAGACCTAATGTGAGTTGGTGCAAGTTCAATGGCAGTGACTGTTTACCCTTTGGGAGTAAAGTTTCGTCATACACAAGTTGGGAAGAAAAGAAGAATATTTCCATTTTCAGCCTTCATTTTCACTCAGTGCTTCCTACAGACAATGGGTCATACCGTTGTTATGTGAATTTTTCTTCTCAGTTGATTACAAGCCACTCAATAGTCATAAATGTTACAGGTGAGTTCTCAACTCCCAGAGTGTCTATTGTTTTCCAGGAAAGAGAAGATCCAGGTTCTCAAATGATTGAGTCAGAGACTGAATTCCTATATTGAACAAAAACCTGACACATCTCACAAAATGAGACCTCTAAGTCCATATGGCTCTCTGAGTTTGTAAAGGAAGGTGGTAAATAATATATATATATATATATATATATATATATATATATATATGAATGGAGAAAAATGTAGTAATAGTTATTGTTCTTTGGGAATTATAAAACTGGTGTGGTAACACCTAAAGTACATTGAAATAACTAAAAAACATGAACTAAATATGAATGCTTTTAGCTTTTTATTCTTTGTCCTTGTTTTTTCTTTAATTTAAAAAATATTTTTCTGTCTTTAACTTCTGTTAATTTCTTTATAAAAAATTCTGTTTGTAATGCTCAGATAAGTGTACATTCATTAGTAGCTTACAGTGTGCCCATCCAGAAAGCAACATACTGATAGCCTGACAGATGAGTTTGGGGGAAGAGTTAGGGCTTTGGCTGATTCCCCAGATCCTCCCCGGAGGCCTCCAATTACATCTAGCAGTTTAGAAAGTACAGGTGAAGGTTAAACTGGTGAAAGCCAACTCAGTAAAGCATGGGAAAAAGTAAAAATGGGGGAGTAAATAGGATTAAAAATTTCATTCAGCATTATGTTCACTAGTGAAAGACAATGCTGGCACCATGCCTTGTGTCTCCTGACTCTCCTCCTGTCACCATGGTGTCCCTCTTCAACTCTCTATTAAAATTGATCTGGTTTGTTGAGACTGTTTTCCTGCTCTTTCTTTATTCTATGACCCCCATGGCTCAGTTTCCTAACAGTATTAAGTGTATGTGAGGCTGCAAGTTTGGGGGAGACATGCATCCACTTGCAGTCACCAGCTTCCTAATAAACACCCCAATTTGACCTCTCAAAAAAAAAAGGCTGAATGTTTTTCTCCTAAGAACAGGAACACGATAAAGATGCCTGCACTTGACATTTCCATTCAACTTGAAGTCTGAGCCAGAGCAGTAAGAGTGAGAAATAAAAATCATCTAAAATAAACTATACACTGCAAACTATCTCTATCATAAGTGGCATGGCCTTGTGTTTAGAAAATTCATTAAAAAAAACTGCTTGATACTTGTATTCATCAAAGTTGTAGGATTCAAGAATTAATGTATAAAATTAGTGGTACTCCTGTACACAAGTCATGAATACTCTGAGAAGGAAATTAAGAGAATTTATTAAGAGAATTTCTAATACCTATGTCACAAACCATGCAATACATCGAGTGGGGGCATGGCCCAAGTGGTAGGGTACTTACTTAACATTTGTGATTTCCTAGGTTCAATTCCCAGGACTGGAAAATAAAACAGGATAAAATACATAGAAATAAATTTAAGCAACAAAGTATAAAACTTTTGCATAGAAAAAAAAAAGCATGAGAGCAAAAAAAAGAGATTCAAGAAGATATAAATGAATATAGACATTCCATGATCACAGACTGGAAAACTTAATATTCTGAAGATGATACTATAGATGATCTACAGATTCAGTGTCATTTCTACCAAAGTCCCGATAGCTTTTGTCCTTAAAAATGGGAAGGTTTATCATAAGATTCATATCAAATTGACAAATCCAGAATCGCCAAAGAAATCTTTAAAAAGTGAGAACAACACTTTCTTATTTCAAAGCTTAGTATAAAACTACTAATAACCATGTGGAACTGACATATGGGTGAACACAGCATTGGTGCAATTGAATTGATAGGATAGAATAAAATGTATATGGTTAATTAATTTTTGAGGAGCATGTCAAGACCATTTAATGTAGAAAAGAAGAATCTTAGTAAGAAGTAGCAAGTGGGAATAAATCTCAGTGTTATAGCTCTTACCTAGCTTATTCTAGGTCCTAGATTTGGTTTCCAGCACTAGAAAAGCCGCACCAAAAAAAGGCTCAAATCCTTCAAACAAATTGTATTGGAAAAATTATATAGTCACATACAAAAGAATTTGAACCTTACTTTAGAATATATGTAAACAAATCAGAATGCATTAAGGATTTTAGAATAAGAAATAAAACCATAAACCTACATTTATATCAAACTACAAATCTACGTTCAAAAGAACATACAAAACAAATCTACATTCAAGTAGAAAAGTTGTAAATTTTTATGAAATCCTATTTCTTTTAGTTGTTTCATGCTTTTGTAATCCTATCTAGAAAGTTATTAGCAATTGTAAGTTTGGGAAGACTTGAATGTAGATTTGTTTTGTATGTTCACACACTTATGCCTTCAGACAACCTACAAGCATGAGAACATATTTGCAAGGCATACATACATTTGATCAGGAAGTACTGCCCAGAATATATAAAGGGCTCCACTATTTATCCCCACGTACCTCTCTGGATTGTTTGTAGGTTCCACCCAGAATCTGTCAGTTACTGTCTACAGCCTTCTGTTTCCCAGGTCTCTTCCTTACCACTCATTGGTCATCCATTTGTCTACTCCTTCATTACCCAAGTTTGAAAGGAAGCTTTCCAAGGTTACCCTAGGGAAAGTGATTTTTCTTGTCTGTCTATTTTAATGCCATAAGGCCTGTGCCTCTCACTTATCACGTTTTCTTCTACTGTTGTAAAATGTGGAAATATGTGCCCTTTTTTTAAGTCCTAAGAAAAGATTACAATGCTTCAGAAAACAGCAATCATATTTATTGGAGTTGTCTCTGGTTTTATTTTCAAAGGTTAGATACATTATTTAACAATTAAGTTTGATTTTAATGGGAAAACAAAGATAACAGGGAAAGGGAAAAGAAGGATTTCCTTCTAATCCTGGGAGTGCTCAGTTAACTAACTATGAAGCGAGGAACGAAATGCATAAACATGTTTAAAGGCCATGATTTTATATGTAAATTTTAGAGATAAGATTTTTTAAAATTCTCTTGCCTCCCCAGAACCATTGGCTCGTTCCTATAATCCCAGCTATTCAGGAGACTGAAATTTAAGGATCACACATTCAGAGCCAGCTCTGGAGGACAAATCCTTGAGACTGATTCTCCAATAAACCAGCAGAAGGCTGAAGTAGAACTCTGGCTCAATGGTAGAGTGATAGCTGTGAGTGAATAAGCCAAGTGAGCATGAGCCCCATAGTTCAAACACCAGTGCTGGTACACATACATACACACACACACACACACACACACACACACACACACACACATATATATGTATATATATATATATACATATATATGAATGGATTGGTATAAGTGTGTGACATAGTAGTTAGTCCCATAGTAGGGATTTTGGATGCCCTTGTGAAAGCAATAACTTCCCAAAATGAATAAAAGCACTTTGGAAATCAAAATCCTAGGGGACAAGAGGACAGAAATGGAACATTCATTGGCCTGCAACTCTGTTCTCCTCACCTGTCCTTGGGTCTGTCTCTGATTAGGGGTTTGGAGAGCACCTTATCTGAACTGGAAAGTGGATGTGGAGAAAGCAGACAGTGACAGACATAATCTCCATCTGTTTCACAAGAAACACCCAGGATGTCACTAAAAGTACACCTTCCCTGCGGCAGGCCATTCAAGTGGTCTTGTGTCCTTCCTGGGAAAGAGGAAACAAAAGCAGATAGATAAAGATTATGCTGTCTGCACAGAGTGTTTCTTTGGGCCTGACAATAAACATTTCATAGTCTCAAAGTGATGCTCCATGACTTTGGGACTGGGTTATTGGATTCCCTGTTAGTGAGCAGACCCCCAAGTCCTCTCTGAGATTAGCTTTAATGTTAAACATAACTAAGTGGACACTTCACTGTTTTCTCAACTAATTTCAATTCTTCTTCTTTTTTTTTTTTTTGGTTTTCAATTGCAGAGCAGTCTCAAAATAATTCAGAACGACCTCTAATTAGTAAGTAAATAAATGAATCAAATAAAATTGGTGGTTAGAAAACACAATAGAAGTTGTATCCCCATAATTGGGTGTATTTATACACTCTTAATTGTGTGTATTTATTTGTGTTATATTTATTATCTGTTGTTTGGTATGTAGCTCTTCTCCCTCTCAAGACAGCTATGTTTGCTGCTTCTGATAATGATTTGGCTCTTCGCCCAACCCAAACAGCAGCTGCAGCATGAACAGTATGATAGTGCTTACCATTCCGAATTACCAAACTGTGTATAATATGACCAGCTTAAATGGCCTCCTGACCTCCAAATGCTAAGCATCTAAGTGGGATGAGGACTCACACACATAATGGAGTACTATACTTCAGTCCTCTCCAGGCTATGTTAACAGTAACTCAGAATAAAGAATAATTCTTCCATCATAACCCAGAATACACTTGTATGTGTGCGTGTGTATGAAAGCTCCACATGTGCATTCTTACTAAGGTGGATAATTCATTGTGGTGAGGGAGGGTGCTCTGTGTAGTATAGTTTAGTAGAATTCCTGGGCTCTCCTCACAACCAGCCTCTCTGGCCAGCCTTCCTCTCATTTCATGACTTCAAAACCCTCTCTGGATATTGCCACCTGTTTCCCCTAACTACTTTTAGCATTGACTAACATTGCAGATGTAACCAATACTTCCGGACCCCCCTCCATAGAAGAGATGGCACTCAGGGGATGGCTGCTTCACAGTTTGCTTCCTGTGGGGGCACTGCCACTACTCATCATTGCCTGTCTCTGCCTGATCTGTGGCCTGAAAAGGAACCAAGGTGGGTTCCAGTTTCTCTTGCCTCTCTCTGTCACACATTTTGAGTTCCTTAGATGGGGACAGAAAAAGAACCATTGGTTCTTACTGTCTTCTTTTCTGATCTCTGTGACAAGCCATGGATAATGATCTCCTGGCCTGTGACTCATTTCCACCAAGAAGCCAAATGGATTGATTTGGACTGCCACCTGCTACAGTGAGGCATGCCTTGCCACAAGACATGCTCCACTCAGTTCCTCAGTTGTGGTATTTTCTCATTCTATTTGCATCCCAGGGTTGAAAGGGTGGCTGAAATAAATCTCTTGGGTCCACATGTTTGACTTGAGTTAATCTCCCCACCTCCCCCCACCTACATTTCACAACTAAATGACATCATCCCTATCCAAATAAAGAACCAATGTCCTTTGAGGGGATGCATGCTTATGTGTGTATGTATATACTTTCTATTGCCATCATAAATGTTTAAAGTGAGTATTGAACAATGTCAAATTGAAAAAAATGTGGGTTGGGCTATGCTTGGCAAGGTGTGATGTATAGAAAACAATCCTATCTCCTTTTGAAAACATTCCTCCAGTCTCACCACCAAACACTTAAACACAGAAAGCAAAGAATGCACAGAGTATTCTGATCTGGCTTTGATCTGGCCCACGTCAGCTTTTCCTTTCCTTTCATGTCTTCTTATCCTTTCTTTCCCCAACACCAGACAAGATATGGCTGTATCAATGATCCAGACAAAGCAACCCTTAAATAGTTGTCACAGAGAAAGCTTTGTCTGGGCAGAGGTGCTTCTGGTGTTTTGGAGTGAGGACTTCTGGAATGCAGAGCTTTCATCATTACAAACTGGACTCTGAATTTATAACTCTGCACCTCTTTCCACAATTTCTCAGTTGAGTTCAATACTTAAAGAACATCTCTCAGAACTTCAGAAAAAAGATGTTGGGATGTGTATCTTAATTTATCCCATTCCAGTGTGACTAGGCACTTGGCTATGGATGTGACAAAAGCATGTCTGCCATTGAGTTGGAATAGCCCAGAGCAGAGACTTCCATCCTTCTCAACTCAATGACCTTCCCCTTCTTCTGGGTGTGGCATGGAAGCCAAGGCAAACAGACAAGAACCAAACCGAGCATGCCCACTGTTATACGGCAGGATAGGTACAGGTGGTTCAACCCTGTCTCCTTCTCTCCTAATTACTTTCTTTTTGTTTGTCTTCCAGGGAAACAAAAGAAGACTTCAGATTCAACAGGCAGGGAAATTAACCTGGTATGTTCGATGTATCTGTTAAGACAAATACAATTATATACATACATATACACATGGATATATGTATATACACATACATATTGCATTAAATATATTTAATATGCTTATATGACATGATGAGCAGATACTGTTTACACTCCCCCCTCTCTCTTTTTTCTCTCTCTCCACATAGCAAAGCTCTTTTAAGTATCAAAACAAAGCGTTCTTTGTGAAACAGATTGGAAACGGTATTAAATCCTCTTGGTTCAGCCCTTGCCTGTTATGTGGCTTCTGATTATTCATTTATTTTTCAAAATTACTTTAAAGGGTTTTCTTTTTTTAAGCAGGATAGTAGGGTGTCAATGAACAATGAACCTAAAAACATCTTCACTTGTGGGTTATTTATCACAATAAGTCATAACACGATCATAATAACTAGGTTTCATCATGAAACATCCCAGTAGATAGAGGCCTGCCCCGGGCTTAGTTGCTATGCAGAATTTCCTGGGGATGAATGTGGGCTCACTAAGGAAGAGACTAGCCAAGGAGAAAAAAGGGCACTTTGTAGAGAATTTTTTTTCTACAATATTTTGGGAATGCATTTAAACTTCCTTTTGATTCAGAGTTGTGATATTAGAATGCAAGATGAGGCAATATATCTGTGAAAAATGGGAACTTTAAAAATTAAATGTAAATAGTCATAAATGAGATGCTTCAAAGGAACTTGATTTGTATGTGCAATGTGTTTCAGAAAGAAGTAGAAATGAACAATATGTCTATTGAAAATTACAAAAATGCCAGAGAAAGTTCTAGCCAATAATTCTCTCTACATATTAAACGGCAACCAGCATTGCATACCAAATTTCAAACCAAGCAAAGGATGTCTACTTTGATAAGATTGTATTAATATTTACTAAACATCTTTTCAGTGATAATGATTTGTTTTCTCAAAAAGGAACTTTTTCTTAAGTATAATTTTTCCCTATTCCATAGAACCACAGAACTAGATTCTGTCACCATCAGGTTTGAGAACTGGGAAAGTATAAAAAATTACAATGTAATTTACTAAGCAAATAAACCATAGGTTGGTTTAAACTGTAGTCATATTCATTCCTATGTAAGTTAGACAAATTATTATTTGAGGTTTAATTTAAAAGGGGTTTTAGCCAGGTGCCCATGGCTCATGATTGTAATCCTAGCTATTCAGACCTGAGACTATGGAGACCTGAAGCCTTTGAGGCCCGAGGACCACTGTTCAAAGCTAGCCCAAGCAGAAAAGTCTGAAACTCTTATATTCAGTTAAACAGCAAAAAGCCAGAAGTAGAAGCATGGCTCAAATAACAGAGTACCATCCTTGCGTAAAACAAAACAAAACAAAACACTGAGGAAGAGCCAGAGGCCCTGAGTTCAAGCCCCAGAGCTGAGTTGGGCACACATTCATGCACATACTTGAACATGTGTGCATGCACGCACATATGTGGTTTTTTTTTCTGTGTATATGATTATTGGGGAAGTTTCCTTTTACTTGTCCTTGTCATTTACAGGCATTTGAAGTTTTTCCCCATTTATGTTAACATTTCAGAAAATAATCAAAAGGATGCCACATTAGGTCCCTGCAAGGTTTTTTGTTTTGGTGATATTGAAAAGTGGAAGTTTAATTCAGTATTAAATTGGCAATATGTCTATTGAGAGGCATACTCTCAGAAACACTTTGGGTTTTATTTGTTTTTTTTTTTTGGTTGTTTTGTGTGTGTGTGTGTGTGTGTGTGTGTGTGAGTGTGTGTGTGTTTTATGTGCTTCCATTATTGTCTGGATTTTCCATTACAAGGACCACAATACTCCTATATATTCCATCCAAATAGTTGAGATAACAGGTATTTACCATCACACCCAACTTGTTTTTGGGGGGTCCTGGTAACATTTTGCCTCTGCTGAGGCAAAAGATCTCAAATTGAGATCTTACTGATTTCTGTCTCCTTAGTAGCTAGAATTGTAGGTATGAACTGCCACTCCCAGCTAAATTTTTCTGAAGAAGAAACTTGTGTGGGAAACAGTGAGACAATCCAAAGTAGAGAAAGGAACTATGCTTAAAAAAAAAAAAAGAAAATGAAAACATGGTATGAACTGTGAACCAAAAATCAGGAACAAATTTGAAATTTTTAAAAACCAAACACAAAAAACCTGAAGCAAAACTCATTCTTGTTTGGTGCAAACCAAAACACACAAGTTCAGTTTAAAAACCTAGTGAGTGCACCCTGAGAGAGACAAGATTGAGGCTTTTATAACAGTAGGGGAAAGGGGAGAACACAGCTCAGGATCCTTTAGAGAGAAGGCCTTGGATAAGCCTTGTGGTGGGAAACTGACCCAAATCAGGGAAGTTGCTAATTTTGCAAAGACACTGATGTATCAGTGCCAAGAGCAGACTGGTCAATCCTCCCATCTTTGCAGTCCACAGGGTATTGATAAAGTGCCAGAAAAGTTGGATTTTCAATTCTTGATGCATTGTGAAGCAGCCTATACCTGTGAGCAAACCTCTAAGGCTTTCAAATTTTCTTTTTGACCCTTCAGCGACCACTTTAATTTTCCTTATTAGTACCCATAAAAGCTAAAGTTCAAATCTGATTCCAAAATGGCAGTTGGAAAAATATAAATGTGCTTTTGTACTAAAAAAAACACTGAATTGTACATTTATTTATGAAAAGTGAATTATATATATATTATATGTATATATGTGTATGTTTAAAGTGCTTTATACACTGTAAAGTGCCATAGGAATACAATATAGGATTGCTTCTGTCATCTTCTGTCTAGTGTATCTGTCTACCACCATATGTTACCCACCACTTTCTAAAGAGTTCCAGGAGAGCTCAGGTGTGGAGTGTTCTGTCCATTCTTAGAAAATTTTACATGAAAATGAAACATATTTGGGAAGAGAACTAGGTAACCCATAGACTGATTAGTACAGATTGAATTCAAGAGAGGGATTGTGTTAATTGAGGATTTACATATTGAGGATTTATGGATAGATATTAGGTCAAGTGACAGGCTCTTCTGTGTAAAGGTGGGAGCCATATTAGCAGCTGAGAACTAAATACCTCAGTTCTCACTACCTCAGGATAGAGAGACAAGCTTGCAGTGAAGATACAAAGGACAAGGGAGGGGTCTGTAGGTTTCAAACATTATGTAAAAACGAATAACTTGAAGGAGTAAGGTCAAGTCTTAAGGATCTAAATTGACTGGCAAAATTGAGATTTTTTTTTTTAAGAAGAACAACTAGTATCTTCATTTTTTAGTTTTTATTTATTTTATTATATTAAGTAGTGATACAAAGAAGTTTCAATTCAGTGTGTCAGTTTGTAAGTACAACACATCTTGATCATAGTGTCTTCATTTTTACCTAGCAGATTATTCTTCCTTCAGCCAGGAATGACTAACAAACAACTGAAAAGAATGAGAAAATATCAAGACTCCTCTATTTTTAGTGTCAACAAGTACATTTCTTTGTAAGAAACGTGATATTTGACACTATCTGAAAGTAAGGCTTTTCTTGGGATAGAAATAACAACCAGAATAAGATTTCAGAAATTTAGCTAAACTTTGCCCCTCCAAAACTGGCACCAGTTTTCTAATTCCAGATCTGACATCACAATTTGCCTGGGATAACTCATAGTATTTTTTTTTAATTCTTTCTCACTTTTTTTCCCTACTTTATGTTTAATCACTTTAGTCTATACAATATTACTATTGCCCACTGGGTTATAAGCTGTTTGATGATTTTATTGCTTATCCAATAGTTTGCTTTTATCTTGAAAAGGGATTAAAAAGCCTTCTCTGGCACAAAATAATTCTTTTGTTGGAACGGAGTGGGTCTCCAAACTTGCTAACTATGTGGATAGCTGGAGCATCTGTGAGGGATAGTAGATAACTTTTCATTCATAATTTACTAATCAATATGTATTATCATGTCCTTGTTTATCCTTTTTTAAAAAATCTTATAGGCTGATGTTCCCCAGCCCCTTAGCATCGAGCAAACTGAAATGAGCACCAGGCAAAATTCCAAAACACTGCCATCAGAAAGTGCAATTTATAATAATGATCCCTTGTTCAGGCTATCAGAAGAGCTTGAAGCTAATACTAACCGAGGACTGGAGGAAAACAAACACTGCATTGTTTATGCTTCCCTGAACCATTCCATCATTGGAAGGAACACAAGACAGACACGAGATGTGCAAGAAGCACCAACAGAATACGCATCCATATGCGTGAGGAATTAACTCTGTTCCTGACACCCATCAGTGATTGCTGACTGCCCAGCAAATCGTCGTCATTGTCTGACCTCAGCAAGATGTCAACAGTCCTTAATGTGTGGACTTCGGTGGTTCATGGTGGTGGCTTGGGGCTTCCGTGTTCATATGGAGTAAAATCTCTCCTGAAAATTTCATTGGGAGACATTTAACAAAAAATCTTCTCTCTGGAACTGTTTCATAGCATGACTAGAAGAGGAACATTAACATTTAAACTTAATCAAATTTTTACTGAACATGAACACTTACTATTCCCTTTGGTTTTTATCTCAGACTTATAGCAAAGAGGGGTTTGTGCTATCTAGAACAACTCACTACAAAAAAGTCTCAATTTGACTAATTGTCATACAGAAATGATTGTTATTTTATAATAAGAATCTCCCCATCAGTCTTTAGCTGTTGTTTCTTATATACAAGCTGTTGTTTCTTATATATTTGAGCTGTGGCTCAAGTGGTAGAGTGCTCGCCTTGAGCTGAAGAGCACAGGGACAGCGCCCAAGCCCCACGACCGACAAAAAAGAAAAGAAAATAAAAGAAAGAACTTTAGACTAGATATAGGGAAAAAGTGGAAAGAGTAGCTGGTGGAATATAGAATTTACTAATTGGATATGGGGAAAAGTTTTCTCCATACCTGGAAAATGTGATCATTTTTTCCCTTGTTAGATTGAGGAGTAAATTAGATCTTAATGGAGAAATCAGTGTACAATCTACTTATGAGCAGAGTAAGGGAATATGACATAATGTTTCTGGATTGAAACACGTACAGGATCTGAATAAATATAAAACCACTGAAACTAGGCAAGTGCAGACTGAACTTATCAGCTGCCTATGGTTTTACCTGATAGCAAATGAAAAGAGCAAGTAAGGACATGGAGGAGAGGCCAGGAGTTGTTGACAGTCAATAGGGGGCAACATACGTTCATTAGCTTCTGTACAGTGCTGCTGTTCTTATGAAGGAATTCCGAGAAACCATAAGGTTTGCAGTCTATATTCACTCTTTTTAAAATGCTTATGTTGCAGCTACTTTAGAGGAGGAAAGTTAAGATTTTCATATTTTCTGAATTTACAGAGTACTTGAGTCTAATTATTTCAGAAATATCCTATAACTTTATTCAGCAGCTGGAAGCTAACTTCTCAGAAGCTGCTACTAAACAAATAATGCAATAATTCCTCATACAAAGCAAAAGTTAGAACCTGCTTGAACACACATAAGAGCTGCTGAACAAATGAATGTGGTCCCTGTATGTGCATGAATGCATGTAGGTATGTATGCACACTTGTATGTTAGTGGATAGCAATAAGAAGGAATTTACAGAAATTGGGACAAGAAAAAATTTATCGAATTGATATTCTTTTTTCAGTTTGCTTATGAAATGCAAAATACTACAGTAGATGAGACAAAGAAAATTTGTGCCAGGCACCAGTGACTCATGCCTATATTTCTAGCTACTGAGGAGGCTGAAAATTGAGGATCCTGGTTCATAGACAGTGAAGGCAGATAAAACCAAGAGGCTCTTATCTCCATTTTTTTGCTGGTTAGCAAAAAGCAGGAAGTAGAGTTGTATCTCAAGTAGTAGAGCATCATCCCTTAGCAAGAAAGCTGAGTGAGAATGCAAGACTCTGTATGCAAGCCCCAGTATCATCAGTAAAATGTAAAAGAATGTGTGAAATGAAAATGGGAATGTGAACAGAGAACACAGCCACAAAAATACGAAAATAGAGTTTTGTTATGCAGATTTTCCTCCATAATACTCAGATTACCTTTAGTTCCTAGGATTTAAGGCTGCAGATATTATTTCTGAGTCACTGTTAGGGATCCAGTTCAATATCATAACACCTAGAATTTTAACCAACCAATTCAATTCTAAATTAGTTCTTTCAGTCAGGCTGCTTTTGTGGACAATTTATGCAAAAAGGACGCTAGAATAGCTGCTTGTTTTCTTCTTAAAAATAGAAACAGGAAATATGGGAGGATGTGGACAGCTCTTATCAGATTAAACATACAAAGCTCAACAATTCTTTCAAAATGGTCTCCATTTTAAAAAAAACACGTAATTTCTATCTACTGTGATTAAAATAATCTTAATGTAGCTCACAATAAAGGATAATGTTATGATTTCACTTAGAAATAATTTATGCTGATATTTGTACCATGCTTGTCAAAAATCACAACTCATTTATACTTTTTGTCTCTATTAATAAAGTGTACCAGATATGTATGCATATTTCCATGAATGAATCTATTTTAGTATTATATCTATGTTTATGTCTTTGATTTACAGGTAAGATGCACTTTTCTATGAATTTCAAGCTTGTCAATTTTTCCAAAAGTAACATGCATTCATTGACACTTTCTCGTAAACAATTTGATACAAACTTTTGTACCAAAAAGTACGTGGAACAGTAGAATTGATTCTTGAATTTCATGGCGCGTGAAGACAACCTGAAAGACCTGTGTACCCACAGATGACCAACTCAGAAATCCTGACTCAGAAACTCTAAGCTCTATCATCTATGTCTTTTCAAAGCAATGTAGGTGATATTTATGTTTTCCAATGTCTGCTATTTGAGAAATCTTGAAGTAGTGACTAACTTTGTGATATTTTGACTTAATCAGCTTTGTGTACCAAGCAAGATCATGTAGGTCCCAGAATAGATTCTCTAGCTCAATAATGTAGCATATCTTCATATATGTGCATATATAGAATATAGAGAGAGCACATATCTATGTATCTATGGTACATATGTAACATAAGAGTATATATATGTGCATATACACATATAGAGATAGATAGAGACAGAACAGAGACAGAACAGAGACAGAAAGAGAAACAGACTTTTTAAAGATAAGTTTTAGATTCATAAAACTAAGCAGAGGAAGAGAGTGAAAAAGATGACATTGTCCAAAAAAGAAACGTACTGTTTACCTGACTTATGTAACTGTAATCCCTATGGACATCGCCTTTATAATAACAAAAAATTTTTAAAAGAAACTAAAATGTCATTAAAAAACAAAAACTGGGGCTGGGAAGGTGGCTCAGTGGTAGAGTGCTTGCCTTGCATGCCTGAGGCCCTGGGTTCGATTCCTCAGTACCACATAAGCAAGAAGAAAAAAGCCGGAAGTGGCACTGTGGCTCAAGTGGTAGAGAGTTGGCCTTGAGCTGAAGAGCTGAGGGACAGCACCCAGGCCAGAGCTCAGGCCCCATGAGCGGACCCAAAAAAATAAAAATAAAAAACAAAAACTAAGCAGAAAGCACATAGATGTTTTCATATCCCCCCTTCACACTATGCACAGCCTCCACCCTTAGCATCCTGTACCATAGTGGAGAAAATCTTATTTGCTTCCAAGTTTTGGTAATTATGGAGTTGCTATAAGCATTCTTGTATGTGTCTATGTGTGGATATAAGTTTTGTTTCTTAGTGGAAAATGATGTTCATTTTCCAGTGCTCTTCATACACTTATTTAGCATCTTCTTCGGTGTATCTTCTTTGTTGATACATCTGTTTCAGATTTTTGTCCATTTTTAATTCAGGCTGTTCATGGTCATATTGAATTTTGTGAGTTTTTTAAAAATATAATTTTGCTGGGTGCTGGTGGCTCACATCTGTGATCCTAGCTACTCAGGAGGCTGAGATCTGAGGATCACAGTTCAAAGCCAGCCTGGGCAGAAAAGGTTGTGAGACTCTTATCTCCAATTAACCATCAAAAAACTGGAAGTGGTGCTGTGGCTCAAGTGGTAGAATGCTCACTTTTGGCTTCTTAAGGGCAAGGATTATGTCAGATTCCTGTTTATAGCCCAGTGCTTGATACATATTAAATTAACTATTAGTTAAGTAACTTTGAAGGAATGAATGTGTTTGGGAAGTAGTAAGTGTATCACTTCTTTGTTATTCAAAAGGTATTCCACAACTCAGAAGCATAGGGATGTCTGGGAGCACAGTGTTAATGAAACCCACAGGCTTCACACACTAAGAATCTTAATTTTAGCAAGACTCTCCGATGATTTGTATGCAGATCTCTTAATCCATTTAGACCTTTTGAATACATCTTTCTCCATCCCAAGTCAAGTGTGGCAGGAAACCAAAATATATTTGTAGACAGACTAATTTGGAAAGTTCTATTTTAGGAAGGTACAGGAAGGGCTTTACCACCCCATCTGGAAAGTAAAAATGGCAAGTGAAAAAAGAAAATATGACTGTTTTATAGAACAGAGATTTGTACTAAGCTTGTGAATATGAGAACTGAAAGTTCTGTGCTAGAAATCAATTTGCAAGTCAAAAGCAAGTTATAGATGTTGATCTTTAAAAATCAGACTCTATTCCAAGTCAAGTCAGGGCATAGCCATATGCAAAGTTTTATCAGAAAGTAATTCATGTCCCTTTACTATTACCTACTAGTTTTCTGGATTCTGAGGTTACATGGTTAGGAAAGAGTCTATTTCTCTCTACCACTGTTTATAGAACAGCTGAAGAGATAGAAACTAAACAAATCATTATAATTGGGTGGTTCAATGTTACAAAATCCAACACAATAGGATCAGTGATAAAGGAGTAAGGAGATGCCCAGAAATAAAACTATTGAACCAAACTTGTAGCGCACATTAAGTTCCATCTCCCGTTAGCTAGAAAATAAACCGTAGTACCCTTCAGAAAAATTAAGGGTGTCCCATTTGCTAAAACCCACATGGCAAATAAACATCCTTGTTTAGACCATTTAGCTGACAACTCTTTAAAATATGCTGGCCTTGTGATATCTGATTCCATAGAAGCTTTTAGAACAAATTTCAAATGAGCAAATCTGTTTATTTTTCCCTTGTAAAATGAACTGCTTCTTGTGAATTTTAACTGTCAACAGTATCTTAAAGCATTTCAGGAGTCTCAAAAACCAATATTAGTAGTAGATACAACACATCTATGGCATGATCACATTAATAGGCATACACAGAGACATATTTATGTCTCTTTGTATATTACACATATAAATAAAAAAAGAGGACTCACATTTATCATTAATGATTACAAGACTTACATAAAGTATTTTCAAGTGTGAGTCAGAGCATTCAGAGAAAATAACATATTAGATCTAAGGGAACCATTCCAAGGAATATAATTATATAATTATAATCATAGACTTTAGCTTCTTAAGAAGATGAGACTAAGTAAGGTTAGGGTAAAAATATATATATACATATATTTGAAGAAGTAATTTCAAGATGCGTGCAGAGAATGAGGGGGTACTTTCCAGCAATTCCACCATAAAAAAAATGCTGAGAAAGGATTTCATGTGGGAGGCCAGCCTGAGCTGGCACACAAACCAAAAACAAAAACAAAAGAGCTGAGAAAAGTTGTCATTAAGTAAGATGCATCAATCAAATACTTCAGAAATATTTTGGGGGCTGAAGGAAAACAATACCATATGGAAAACTAGATCCTGACAATAGAATGAAAATGATCAGAAATGAGAAACATGTAAGTAAATATAAAAAACAATTCTATTTATGTTTTCTAAGATAGATGACTGAAGGAAAAATAATGTGGACATCGTAGAATGTGAAGTATATGATAATGGGGACTGGGAATGTGGCTTAGTGGTAGAGTGCTTGCCTAGCATGCATGAAGCCCTGGGTTTGATTCCTTAGTACCACATATACAGAAAAAGCCAGAAGTGACACTGTGGCTCAAGTGGTAGTGTGTTAGCCTTGAACAAAAAAGCTCAGGGACAATGCCTAGGCCCTGAGTTCAAGCCCATGGACTGGCCCAAAAAAAAAAAGTATATGACAATGATAAAGCATGTAAGACTGGTAAATGCAAATATGTTGCATGCAATAAAATGTGATAAATTAAGGATATAAACTGGAATCCATAGAGAAATGACTCCCAAATTTTATGGAGTCAAAGATTAAAAGCCACTTAAAGATAAAATAGAAGGGCTGGGAAGATGGCTCAGTGGTAGAGTGCTTGTCTCCCATGCATGAGGTCCTGGGTTCAATTCCTCAGCACCACAAACAGAAAAAGCCAGAAGTGACGCTGTGGCTCAAGTGATAGAGTGGTAGTGTTGAGCTGAAGAGCTGAGGCACAGTACCCAGGCTCAGAGTTCAGGCCCCACAATTCACACAAAAAAGATAAAACAGAAGATTATGTTTATGTACTTAATGGAAAAAAAAGAAAGAAGAAATATAAACAGGAAATGTAAATAAAAAACAAATAATAAGATAGTAAATGTAAACCTAATATAAATAATTTCATTAAGTGAAAAGGAATATAGATTCTAAGTTGAAGTCTGAATTTGTCAGGCTGGGAAAAAAAAAGACCCTATTATAGATAGTTTATGAGAAACTCTTTAAATTTAATAAGATCAATAGTTACAGAACACAGAAAGAAATATCACTCAAACATCAACCATGATAACATGAAAAGGGAATGTTAATATTAAAGTAGAATCAAAGAGAAGTTTTATCAGAGTTAGAGACAGTTCATAATAATGTGGGCATTAATTTTGCAAGAAAAAAAATCAATAATGGGGGGAAAGGGAGTGGGGAGGGGAAAGCAGGAGAAAATAAGGGAGGTGGTAACTGTTCAAAAAGAAATGTACTTATTGCCTTACTTATGTAACTGTAACCCCCTTGTTCATCACCTTTACAATATATTTTAAAAATGCAATTCTAAGTGTGTATGGATTTGATAATAAAAATATGATTGTAAATCAATGGGTATAAAGGTAACAACAGACAAATTCATGACTGAGGCCTACAGTGAGAAATGTCCATAGATTAGTGGACTGGTATGTAGACTCACAGGGATAATTCATAACTACATGTAACTCTAAAACATTTTGCTAGACAAAAGAAGGCAGACATAAAATATAATTTCAATTATTTGACATTCTAGAATAAATGGAGTGAATCTATGGAGAAATAAAAAGTAGTTACCTAACTTGAGGTCTGTATATGTCTCTAAAATTATTGATAGGAGACCAGGAATTTTCTAGAGAAGTAATATTCTATACCTAGAGATAGGTAGATACATTTGTCAAACTTCATAGTATACTTCAGATCTGTGCACATAAATTATACTTTAAAACTATAAAAATTAAACCCTTATTACATGCTGAACTATAATTCAAGTGCAAAGGCAAGCCACACTTTTAGCAAATAAGACTTCCCCTTAAGTCTCACTATTTAATGTATTCCAGTTAAAATGCCAATGTAACTTTGGGAGC